CTTCTAGAAATTTTATGGGTTCAGGCGTTCAAATCTGCTTTGAGTTAATTTTTGTCTGTGGTGTAAGACAACGGTCCAGTTTCCTTCTGCACGTGGTTGTCAGTTTTCCCGGCACCATTTGTTGAAGAGACTGTCTTTCTCATTATACATTCCAGTCTCCTTTGTCACAAATTGATCCTATGTAAGTGCGGGTTTATTTCTGGGATCTCCATCCGACCATACTGTTCCGGTTTTTGCCAATGCCATGCTGTTTTGATAACTACGGTTTTGCAACATAGTTTAAAATCACAGCCCATGACGCCTGCAGTTCGTTCTCAAGATCGCTTTGGCTGTTTGGGGTCTTTTGTAGCTTTGTACACATTTTAGGGAGTTTATTTCTGTGAAAAATGCTATCAGAATTTTGATAAGAATTGCATTGATTCTACAGATTGCTTTGAGTAGAATCAACATTTTAACAATATTAATTCTTTCAATCCATGAGGATCGTCTATCTTTCCATTTCTTTGCGTATTCAATTTCTTTCATGAATGTCCTATAGTTTTCAGAGTATAAGTCTCTCATGGTCTTGGTTAAATTTATTTCCAGGTATTTAATTCTTTTGATGCAATTTTAAATAGGATTGTTTTCTTAATTTCTCATTCTGATAGTTTACTGTCGGCATATAAAAAAGCAATATATTTTTATATATTGATTCATGTTCCACAGTTTTACTGAAGTGACTTATTAGTTCTAATAGTTTTTTATGGAATCTTGGGGTTTTCCATATAATATCATGCCACCTACAAATAACAGCAATTTTTATTTCTTCTTTCCAATTTGTATCCTTTATTTCTTTTTCTTCCCTATTTGCTCCAGCACAGTCCTGCTATGTTAAATGGAGGCGGCGAGCATCCCTTTCTTGCTCCTGATCTTACAGGAAAGACTCCTCACCGCTATGTGTAACAGTAGCTGTGGGCTTGTCACAAAGTTATACCGGATATCCCCCTGATGTTCACTTTGTTGCAGTTTTTTATCACACATGGACTTGGAATTTTGTCAGTTTGTTTCTACATGTGTTGAGTTGATCGTGTGATCTCTCCCCTTCATTTTGTTGACATGTTTGTCACACTGACTCCAAGATGTGGAACCCTAGTCACCGCCCTGCAGTAAACCCCACAGGACTGCGACATACGATCTTTTTAATGTGGTGCTGAGTTCAGTTTGTTCATAGCTTGCTCGGGACTTTTGTTATCTATGTTCATCAGGGATACTGGCCCGAGATCCTTCTTGTTGTATTCTTGTCCAGTTTTGGTATCAGGAACGCGGGCTCTTTGGAAAGATTCCTTCTCTTCTGCCTTTTGGAGACATTTCAGAAGGATTGGTACTAATGTGTCTTTGAGTGTTTGGCAGAACTCGCCAGTGACGCCATCTGGTCCTGGACTCTTGTTTGTTGGGCGGTTTTGATTACTGATTTGATCTCCTTACTAGTTATCAGTCTGTTCAGATTTTTTAAATTTCCTCATGATTCAGTCTTAGGTTGTGTGTTTCTAAGAATTTGTCAGTTTCTTCTAGGTTGTCCAGTTTCTTGGTATATAAATGTTTATTTCAGTCTCTTGAGGGCCTTTGTATTTCTGTGGTATCGATTATAACATTTCCTTTTTCCTTTCTTTCCTGATTTGAGTCTTCTCTCTTGGTGACTCAGCTAAAGTTTTGTCAATTTTTTTTTAAGATTTTCTTTCTTCGAGGGAGGGAAAGTGTGTAAGAGCACAGAAGCATGGTGGGGGTAGGGGGAGGGGGAGAAGCGGTTCTCTTTGAGCAGGGAGGCTGACGTGTGCTGGGTCCCAGGACCTTGGGATCATGACCTGAGCTGAAGGCAGATGTTTCATGGACTGAGCCCCCCAGGCGCCCCAAATGTTTGTCAATTTTGTTTATGCTTTCCAAAGAACCAACTCTTGGTTTTATCAGTCTTTTCCACCGTCCTTTTAATCTCTATTTAATTTTAATTGATTGATTGACTGAATTTACTTCTGTTAGTACCCTGAGGCGGGTAGCCTGCCGAGAATTGCCCAATTGTTACAGCCCCGTTACAGCACCTAGCAGTGCACGGCTCCATGGTCTCCAAGGCCAGGAAGTCAAGCAGGTGCCTGAGGGGCAGGCACAAAAGCCAGGGCGCCAGATACACGTGAAGGCTGCCTGCCAGGAGATACTGGCCCTCTGGAACGCAGCAGTGGAGGGGACACAACATGGCACCTGCCAGTGGGACTGAGGCAGAGCGGGAGTGTACAAATGGTGCCCACTGGGAGAGGAAAACATGGTGCCCATCAGCTGGAGCAAGACATGGACAGCATGAAGATGGTGCTCGCCAGTTTCTGTCCCTGGAAATTCTCCCAGCAGGTTCCCGTACACGTGTGTTAATTGGGTGCCTGCCCCATGGTCTTACATTTAATATAAGCAAATGATCATGCTTCACGTACAGTCTGGGCACAGTCGGCTGCTCTGCACTGGGTGGGTCTAGGAACATAAGCCTTTCAAGGGTCATTTCTCAGTTCTCTATACCTTCATGGGCATCATGGATATGAGTCACATCACTTTTCAAAGCTAGATGTTCTGGGGGCTCCTCTCTCAGGTGCAGGACTTAAAAGTTGGGGTTCCCATGTAGGGTTCAGACCTTTCAGTCCTCAGGAATGATCTCCAGGATTTGAGTTCCCTCCCGGGTGTGGGTCTCTGCACCGGTGCGGGTTCACACTGAAATTCAGTCTCATTCTCTCCAACCTGCTTCAGTGTGCTCCATGAGCATTTGCCCAATGTGTAGGGCTCAGTCTGCTGGTTTTCAGGTTGATTTTAGAGGAAACTGTTGATATGGAGCTGTAGATTCTGTGTCTGTGGGAAGAGGGGAGTTCAGGATCTTCCTGTGTTGCCATCTTGAACTAAAATCCAAAAATATAATTTTACAACATTAATCAGCAGGAAAAAAGTGTCTGTAGAACTTTTGGGGTCCATAGGCTACACATTTTTACTGAAAGGTAGTTCAAACCTCTAACTGTAGGTAAGTTCATGCAGATGTAGCAAACCCACAGATCCTAACTTTAAACTCCAGAACGGATTTTATAGGCGAGTTCAACATCACTAGGTATAAGAATATGTCTGAAAATTTAGGTATTATGCCAGACCAGTGAGGAAATATTTTCATTGTATGACTCATTTTTAACCTCCAAAGGCATATTTTGTAGCCAAATACTTTGTTTCAAATAGTTTAATTAAAATTTAAATAGTCAAAACCATTGCTTCCTGGGTGCCTGGCTGGCTCAGTCCATAAAGCCTGTGACTCTCAATCTCAAGGTTGTGAGTTCAAGCCCCATGTTAGGTGTAGAGATGACTTAAAAATAAAATCTTTAAAAAAAAAAAGAAACTATTGTCTCCGGGAAAACTTGAAATTCCATCTTTTTTATTATTCTCTCCTATTAGCATAGTGTCTATTCTGTTGAATGGATTTAAGTAAATATTTCAAATATTTAGACCAGGAGTCAACAAATTATGCCCCAGCCAAATTCAGCCAATATCTTTTTGTAAATAAAGTTTTAATAGAAAGCAGCCACACGCATTTGTCCATGAATTATATGGCAGCTTTCCTGCTGTGACAGCAACGTTGCTTTGTGAACACAAAGTGAGTGGCCTGAGAGGAAAACGTTTGCAGCCCAGGCCTACTGGATCCATGCACTAAGGGCCGTCAGCCATGCCAGGCACTACAGCGTGAAGAACACCCTAAGTTCCCCTTGCTACTTTTTTTCACATAAATTTGGCGAAATTAGATTTTTAGGACAGTTATATTTTACAAAACACAGATCTAACTAAGCAGTTTTTTAATGTCTTGATTACAGTGATTGTAATTTACTGTACATCAGTCAATGGGAGTTGACTTTACATTACTGACTTACGTGCTTCATGTAGCGTCTCAGAACTGAGAAAATGTATATTGGAAAAATGTACAACTGAAGCTCTCATTCAGAGAAAAAACTGCTTTCCAAGGATAGCAGTTTACTTTGTAAGATATCGATTCTGAGGGTTAATTTTGCTTGAAAGGAAGCACAGCATGTACCCAGCACGTCTTCCGACACCTGGGATATGGTCAGGGGCTACATTTGGAAAACTGTAAGCAATGATGTCCAGTTTCTAAGGGTAATTGTGCGATTTGTAATCACCCATTGAGTCTCAAGAAGTATAGTCAAGGGGCGCCTGGGGGCCCAGTGGGTTAAGCCTCTGCCTTCAGCTTAGGTCATGATCTCAGAGTCCTTGGATCGAGCCCCACATCAGGCTCTCTGCTCGGCAGGGAGCCTGCTTCCCCCTCTCTCTCCGCCTGCCTCTCTGCCTACTTGTGCTCTCTGTCAAGTACATAAATAAAATCTTAAAAAAAAAATAATAACGCGACGCCCACCCTGCAGCCCAGCCCCGCCGGCTGACACCCACATCCCGGCTCCCGGAGGGGCCCGGAGTGCCAGCTGGCCCCCGCGGACGATCGCCCCGCGCGGGGATCTGGACCGTCGAGCTGTCCCTACGCAGAGAATGTCTGAGCCGCGCGGCGGGGTCCGACGACCGCGGGGCGCAGGAGCTCCGGGGGTAAACTGAGGCTCGGGTAGCTTCGGGGAGCAGGCGTGGGCGTGGGCACTGGAGCGGGCCGGGGTCAGCGGAGCTGAGCGGGGGCGCGGCGGGGAAGACTACTCGGCTCCCGGCCCTGCGCAGCGCCCCCCGCAGCGCCCCCCGCACGCCCGCAGGTAAGCGCAGCGCGCCCTCCCACGCGCGGACACCGCCCCGCACCGCGCCCGCGGGTTCGCGCTCCCCCCCGCACCCACTGAGCACGCGCAGGAGGCAGCGACGCGGGGGTCCATTGCGCACGCGCGCGCCGCGGCCTCGGGAGCCGGGTAGCAACACGGCCACGCGGAGCCGCAGCTGCCAATCGGCGCGGCCCGGGGCGGGGCTTGAGGTCTGCGCTCCCCGGTAGGCGGCGGGCGACTTCCGGCAATAAAGCTCGGCGCCGCCGTCAGGTGGGGCCCGAGGGCGTCTGCGCTCCCGCGGGAACTGAGGAGGCGCGCGCTCCAGGTGGGGACGGCGAACCCCCAGCCCTCCCCGCGCCAGGTAGGGTCGGGGGCCCGGGGCGCGCCGGTGGGGACCGAGCGGCCCTGAGCCGCGCGGCGCGGCCTCCCCTCGGCCGCCGCCCATCCCCGCGCGCCCGCGACCCCGCCGCGCCCTGGCCTCGCGCTCCGCGGGCGCTGCCCTCGGGGGCCTGCGACGGTTCCCTGGGCCCCTCCCGCCAGCGTGTCCGCCCCCGCGCGCTCCGAGCTCCTTTCTCCCGGGGACACCCGCCGCCTCCGCCTTGCGGTCCCCGTCCGCGCCCCTCCCCCTGCCGCCCGACCCCGGTCCTCGCCCGCGTCCCACCTGCTGTCCGGTCCCCGTCCGCGGTTCCAGCGTCCTCCCCGTGCCTGGCCTCGGTCCCCTGGCCCTTGTCCGCGGTGCCAGCTCCTCCGCAAGCCTGTCCCTCGGGCCTCGGTCCCCGTCCGTGGCTCCAGCGTCCTGCCGGTGCCTGGCCTCGGGCCGCGCTCGCCTGTGGCTCCAGCGTCGTCCTGGTGCCTGGCCCTCCGTCCTCCTCTTTGGCTCTAGCTGCGTCCCTAGTACTGGTCGGCGGCTCCCTTGCCCTCCGTGTGCCTGACCCTTGGTCCCCCACCCCTCTGTGGCTCCAGCGTCCTCCGCAGGCCTCGCCCGGAGCCCGGGCGCCCTCGCCGAGCCTGCCTCCCGGCGCTGGCCGCCCACCCTGGGCCGTGCGTCTTCCTCTTCCATGGGAGCCGCTGCTCTCTGTGGGCCTCCGCTACCCAGACGCGGGGGTTTGAAAACTCGGGGATCCAGAGAACACGTGCCTTCCTCGTGAAGTCGTCTTTCCTCGCTTCTTCCAAGTCCGCATCCTCCGGCTCCAGCGGGAGTCGCCTCTTCTTGCTCCCCCGGCAGCGCGCACCCGCCTCAGGTGGCCTTCCCCGTCGTGGTCCGGGGGTCCGTCGCTGTGAGGCCTCTGTGGCCGCACGTCGGGTCCCTTATGGGACAGCCCCCAGCCCCCGGCCCCCCGCCAGCGCTCAGCTGTGTCTGCTGTTCCTTCGGGGTCGGGCTCCTCCGCACAGCGGCGGCGGTCGCGTCCGACCCGAGTGACCCGAGTGACCCGGGAGTCTTGTGAGGCCGAGAGAGCGCTGGAGGACACGGAACGCGGTGGGATTGGAGACCGGCGTTTCCCAGCACAGCACAAAGCGGGTTTTGTCAGTTTTTACTGACACAGAAGCAACGAGGGGACAGTTGGAACGCGCGTGCCAGGTGTTCTTGCTGACCCCAGAACGGGTGCCGGCGCGGTAGCCGCCTTCTTACCCGGTGTGCTGCGCGTGGCCAGACTTCCCTGTACTTGCTGCATGTGTCGTCTGGAGCACGGACCCGACGGTGGCTCCGAGTCTGCTCACCCCCGTGTCCTGGCGTGTGGCTTTGCGCAGTGTATGAGAGTTTGTTGCCGGCACGTTGTCCTTCGTGTTTTTATATTTAGACCAGTCATTGCTTTAGACCATGTTTAGGTGACGTATGTAGTATAAGGTGACACTTAAAACCCCACCATTTTAGGACCTTTCCTTTTCACAGGGTGCCCAGGAAATGTTATAAAAACACATTGATAGAGCATGGGCCCCCGACGCTCCAGAGATGTGACCCCCAGCTCCGCCAGATGCTGGGCCGCACTTGGTTCTAGAAAAGGGAATTAAGGCTGTAAAAGGGCAGGGGAGAGGGGGGCACAGCGCCTGGGTGGCTCAGTGGGTTAAAGCCTCTGCCTTCAGCTCAGGTCATGATTCCGGGGTCTTGGGATGCAGCCCCGCATCGGGCTCTCTGCTCCGCAGGGAGGCTGCTTCCCTTCCTCTCTCTCTCTGCCTACTTGTGACCTCTGTCTGTCAAATCAATAAATAAAATCTTAAAAAAAAAATGGGGGGATGGTAGCATTTTTTGTCTTGGGGTGGGGTTGGGGGCTGAGATAGTGCAGCTGAGTTGTTCAGAGGAATGCCTGCCTCCCACTGAGAGCCCGAAAGTGTGTGCTAGGGTCATACCAGCTGAGTAGGGATGCTCGCTGGAGGAAGACGTTTCTTGGTTGGTTCTGCGTCTCTCCTCCTGGGATTTCTTCTGGGCCAGGCAACCTGGGGAGGTCCTGTGCTCCCACTTCCTGCAAGTGGGATGAAGGGAGGGTGTGTAAGACTTTAGCCCCTTTGCTGGCTGACATCAGTTAACCTGAAATGTGCATAAATTGCAAATCCTAGTAGCTATTGCACAACTGAGTAGCCGCCCTTTGAGTAGCTTTCTTAAGTGCTTCATTTTGAGGAGTAAGTTTTGCCTTTATTTTTTGTATTTGAAGTTTTTCAAAACAAATGTGATTTTTAATTAAAACTTATAAAGTTATAGCAATTCAGATCTTTTAGCAAGACAGATCAATAAATTTCCATAAAAGTGGTGGGCTGTTCCTCATTCCGGAAGTGTAGTCCTGTTTTTTCTGTCTGCGAGTTTAGATGCCCCAGGTTGGGAGTGTTTTTGAAAATTTGATCCCAGGCATTTCAAATTGTGCCTTGTCTTTTTTTTTTTTTTCCCTTGCTTTTCCCTGATGGCTTTTTGTTGTTGCTTACGATAACTCTTCTACCAGAGTCTGCCTTAGTTCGTGAACCGTATGGAGTTAAAATTTCAGATAAACTTCATTGCGATCCAGAGAACCTATGTCAGACCTATGAAGTGTGAGCAGCTACAGCAAAACAGATCTTTTCGTGTGTGTTGGAGATAGAAACCTTGGGAATGTTCTGTTTTTGTTTCCGTGGTCTGTGGTGCTGGGCTTCATTGCTTCCAACCGGTATAAATAGAAGCAGCCCTGAGCACTCGGGCTAACCATGTGATTTCTCACAGGGGTTGCTGCAAAAGAGTTGATTATCTTACTCAAGACACTAAGCTGACTCTTCACGTGAAAACTTCACATAAATGTTCCGCATAAATGTTGCTTTGGAGGCCTGAATAGAAGTGTCTTAAGTGGTGAGTGGGCATCGCGCCTACATGGACAAGGGCAGGGTTGGTGCGTCCTCCCGTTTTAAGACAGGTTGTTAGCTGAGCTGTTGGCAGGAGGTTTCTGTTCCCCGAGTTGTGCTTTCTGCCTCCGTTCTCCATGCCCTTTACCCCCCAGGACCTGGCAGGTTATCTTCAGAATAACACTGCTCCTACCACTGCGTTGCCTAAAAACTCTTAATTATTTGGAGAGTAAAGTCCAAACAGCTTTGACATTCAAGTTTTCCATGATCTGGCTTCCAGTCACCTTTCCAACCTGCCTGCCAGCCTTCCCAAAGATTTCTCTATTTCAGCCAACCTGTTCTGTTTATTATTCTCAAAGGTGTCATGTGTTTGTGTGCCCACCATTTCTGTGATTGCTATTTTTTCCCCCATTGTCTCCCATTTACTTAAGATTTAACTGTGCTTTAAGGCCAGCATGGTGCCCTGGTTTTTCTTCAGAGGTCCCAAATGATCTGCTTTTTATTCCGAATTTCTTTTAGTTATTCTCCCTTTATTGCTCATTCAGTACATACATATACATTGTAAAATCTCTTTTAAGTATATTTACATATATTATTTGTGTGAGTTTCCTTGTTTACTCTTATCTATTTTTTCAAAATTTTTAAAAATTATAATTAACATATAGTGTAATTTTTGGTTTCAGGAGTAGAATTCAGTGACTCATCACTTATATCAAACACCCAGTACTCATCACAAGTGCCCTCCTTAATGTCCATCTCCCACCTAGCGCATCCCCCACCTCGACCCAGCAATTGTATTACTACGTATTTACCAAAAGGATACAAAAGTACAGATTTGAAGGGGTACATGTACCCTGATGTTTCTAGCAGCATTACCCACAATAGCCAAACTATAGAAACAGCCCAAATGTCCTTCCACTGATGAATGGATAAAGAAGATGTGTCTCTTGTCTTTTTAGTTCTTGGACTAGGTAGTACACCTTCAGGGATGGGACATAGAGCATAATAACGCGCTGGTCTGTGTTCACCTGTTACTGGAGTAATCTCTATCTGGTCTGTGTAGCAGTGTTCTGCGTGCTGGCCGCTTTTTAAAAATACCGGTTTTTCTGAATCCGCCATATATGACATTGGGAGATATGTTGGCAACTGTCGCAGTTGGTCCTCAGACATTTTTCTCTCGTCCGGTTTTTATGAGACTAGATTGCATTTTAAGCAGCATCTTCTCCATCATCGTTTGCACCTGCCTTCTTTGGGAGGAGTGCATACTGTTGGACACAATTTCAGGTAACAACGGACTGGATGTGGTAGTAGCTTCTGCATTTTAGGGTGATTGGTGGCTTGAAACAAGTCTGCAAGATGATACTTGTGGGGCGCCTGGGTGGCTCAACAGGTGAAGCATCTGCCTTCAGCTCGGGGTCATGATCTCAGGGTCCTGGGATCAAGTTCCGCATCGGGCTCCCTGCTCAGCGGGGAGTCTGCTCCCTCTCCCTCTGATACTCCCCTGCACTTGTGCTCTGTCTCAAGTAAATAAATCTTAAAAAAAAAAAACTTACAAAAATAGTGCTGAGATTTAAATAATGATTCTGAAGTATCTTCTAAAATAAGAGTTTGAGGAGCACCTGGGAGGCTCAGTGGGTTAAAGCCTTTGCCTTCAGCTCAGGTCAAGATCCTGGGGTCCTGGGATCGAGACCCGCATCGGGCTCTATGCTCAGTGGGGAGCCTGCTTCCCCCTCTCTCTCTGCCTGCCTCTCTGCCTACTTGTAGTTTCTGTCTGTCAAATAAATAAATAAAATCTTTTAAAAAAATAAAATAAGAGTTTGAATGAATATGTGACTGTTAAAGATGTTTTTCCTGGAAAACCAAGTTTCATTAAGGAAGTGAGCACTTAAGAGTTGACCCAGGGGGACGCCTGGGTGGCTCAGTTGGTTAAGCAGCTGCCTTCGGCTCAGGTCATGATCCTAGCGTCCTGGGATGGAGTCCCACATCGGGCTCCTTGCTCTGCGGGGAGCCTGCTTCTCCCTCTGCCTCTGCCTGCCATTCTGTCTGCCTGTGCTCGCTCTCTCTCCCTCTCTCTCTGACAAATAAATAAAATCTTTAAAAAAAAAAAAAAAAAAAGAGTTGACCCAGGAATATTGTTGAAGGCTTAGAATTTTCTTCTAATTTTTTTTTTTTGTTTCTTCTAAGCCAGTATAAATGTCTACTTAATAGCCTGTTTTTTTGTTAATTGTAATAAATATAGTTGGGAGATGATATCTGAACATTTCTGTCTCTCAGGTACTCTGTTAGAAATATTCCACGTTAGCAAAATGCCCCAAGTCTACTTGGGTGTGAGATTAATATGACATTATTATTTAAGATTTTATTTATTTGACAGGCAGAGATCACAAGTAGGCAGAAAGGCAGGCAGAGAGAGAGAGAGGAGGAAGCAGGCTCCCTGCTGAGCAGAGAGCCCGATGCGGGGCTCGATCCCAGGACCCTGAGACCATGACCTGAGCCAAAGGCAGAGGCTTTAACCCACTGAGCCACCCAGGTGCCCCTGAGATTAATACGACATTATTGAAAGTATTTTTGGTTGAGTTGTCTGCTACCTTTTTGTGGCTAAATCCAATATATACTTTTCAGTTCTTACTGTATTAGCTTGTTAAGTGTTGTCCTCTCTCAATCATTCCTTTTTTTTTTTAATTTTTAAATTTTTATTAACATAATAATGTATTATTATCCCCAGGGGTACAGGTCTGTGAATCGTCAGGCTTACACACTTCACAGCACTCACCATATCAAATACCTTCCCCAATGTCCATAACCCAGCCACCGTCTCCCTACCCCCCTCCCCGTGGCAACCTTCAGTTTGTTTTGTGAGATTAAGAGTCTCTTATGGTTTGGCACCCTCCCGGTCCCATCTTGTTTAACTTTTTCCTCCCTAACCTCCAAACCCCCCACGTTGCCTCTCAAATTCCTCATATTAGTGAGATCATATGATAATTGTCTTTCTCTGATTGACTTATTTCACTCAGCATAATACCCTCTAGTTCCATCCACATCATTGCAAATGGCAAGATTTCATTTCTTTTGATGGCTGCGTAGTATTCCGTTGTGTATATATACCACATCTTCTTTATCCATTCGTCTGTCGATGGACATCTAGGTTCTTCCCATAGTTTGGCTATTGTGGACATTGCTGCTATGAACATTCGGGTTCACATGCCCCTTCGGATCACTACATTTGTATCTTTAGGGTAAATACCCAGTAGTGCGATTGCTGGGTTGTAGGGTAGCTCTATTTTCAACATTTTGAGGAACCTCCATGCTGTTTTCCAGAGTGGCTGCACCAGCTTGCATTCCCACCAACAGTGTAGGAGGGTTCCCCTTTCTCCGCATCCTCGCCAGCATCTGTCATTTCCTGACTTGTTAATTTTAGCCATTCTGACTGGTGTGAGGTGGGATCTCATTGTGGTTTTGATTTGTATATCCTTGATGCCGAGTGATGTGGAGCATTTTTTCATGTGTCTGTTGGCCATCTGGATGTCTTCTTTGCAGAAATGTCTGTTCATGTCTTCTGCCCATTTCTTGATTGGATTCTTTGTTCTTTGGGTGTTGAGTTTGCTAAGTTCTTTATAGATTCTGGACACTAGCCCTTTATCTGATATGCCGTTTGCAAATATCTTCTCCCATTCTGTCAGTTGTCTTTCATTTTTGTTGACTGTTTCCTTTGCTGTGCAAAAGCTTTTGATCTTGATGAAGTCCCCCTAGTTCATTTTTGCCCTTGCTTCCCTTGCCTTTGGCGATGTTTCTCGGAAGAAGATACTGCGGCTGAGGTCGAAGAGGTTGCTGCCTGTGTTCTCCTCAAGGATTTTGATGGATTCCTTTCTCACATTGAGGTCCTTCATCCATTTTGAGTCTATTTTGTGTGTGGTGTAAGGAAATGGTCCAGTTTCATTCTTCTGCATCAGTCATTCCTTTCTTAAAATATGTTCCTCTCTTGGCTTCCTACTCCCTTCCTCCTACCTCTTCGGCTCTTCCTCTTCAGTTCCCTTTCTGGCTCCTCTACCTCTTGGCCCTCAAATGTCCTGGTCCCTTAGAGTTTTTCCCTTGGCTCTGTGTGTTCTCTCCTGTGGTATCATTCCTGTGGCTTTGCTTACTACCTGAATGCTGGTGAGTTTCCTGTCCTGGTCTCCAGCCTTCCTCTCTCTTCTGAGCCGTGGCTCTGTATATGCATTCGTTTGCCCATTGTTTACTGAGCTCCCTTGTGTGCTCCTGTCACCCATAGATTCTCCTGTTCAGCTGTCTGGAGTGAAGCTAACACTGTATGTTCTAACAGCCTCCAAGGCTGTAATGTTAACGCACAGCCAGGGTGGAGAACCAGTGAGCGAGAGGAAGCTCACTCCAGGCAGTGGAAGAGCTAGTATTTGAGGTCTTGCTCTCACCAAATTGCGAGCTTTATGAAAGTAATAATATCTGTGTCCTCATTTTTAAGGACAGAATTTTTACACCTGGATTGGCACCTGTGGATTCCAGGACAGTGCCTGTCGCCATGGGTTCAGCAAAGCTAACAGGCCTGTCCGAAACTGAAATCAGCATCTCTTAGGTGCCAGAAGCTAACCTGGGCTGTCTTTGGTCTCCCCTCACACATCCAGCCAGTGCCGCATGTGGCCCTGCCCGGTGGGCCTACCTGGGTTAGCTGAGCACATGGCACCTGGTCCCTTGGGCTCCACGCAAGGGCCAGACACACAGCGTGCAAGACGGAAGTCCTTGTCTTCTCCTGGACTCTACCTCCTGAATGCTTTTAGACTCTCTCTCCTCCAGTGCAGCCACACTCCGACCTGGTGGCCAGTGTTCTGTGACCGCCAGTCCTCGCTCCTCCTCCCTCCGGTGCCACCCCCACCCTGGCCAGCTCCAGCTTCCCTCCTCACAGGGGGACCCCCGAGGCTCCTGAAAGGCTTGACTCTCATCGGAACCTTTACGTTCTGAAGTCCCTTCCTAGGCCCCTTGCTGCCCTCAGGGGAAAGTCCAGTTCTTTGATCTGATCACCCCGTGTTCTCACTTCTCAACATCTCACGCTGTAAGCTTCAGCCAAACTGAAGAGCACACAGTGTTCCGTTGCTTCTGGTTTCTAGGGAAGAGCATCTTCTCCGGTGTGATACTCCCCGTTCTTCCTCCTCCCCTGACCCCTGCTGACTCTGCGGGGAAGAGCTGAGATGGTAGCTCTGCTGAGCCCGTCCTGACCTATGCAGTGGCCAGCTAGTTAGTCCCCCAGTGCGTATCCTGTCTTGATGAGTTAGTACACATCAAGGTGCTATGTGACCGCCAATCCTGAGCATTTAGGGGGTGTGTAGGCATTTAAGTATTAAGAACTTTATTTTTGGGGCACCTGGGTGGCTCAGTGGGTTAAGTCTCTGCCTTTGGCTCAGATCATGATCTCAGGGTCCTGGGATCAAGCCCCACATCGGGCTCTCTGCTCTGTGGGGAGCCAGGCTCTCCCACTCTCTCTGCCTGCCTCTCTGCTTGTGATCTCTCTCTCTGTCAAATAAATAAATAAAATCTTAAAAAAAAAAAGAACTTTATTCTTTAAAATTAATCAACAAATGTTCTAAGTGAAAGGAAACTTGTTAACTGCACATATGTTTTTAATTTAAATTACTTCTTTTACAGGAGAACTATGCCATTTTTGGGTCAGGACTGGAGATCTCCTGGATGGAGCTGGATTAAGACAGAAGATGGCTGGAAGCGATGTGAATCCTGGAGTCGGGACCTGGAGAGAGAAAATAACCCGCGTGCTCTCACTCACAGCGTGTAAGTTACAGCCGCACAGACCCTGTCCTTTGCCTGCTGCCCACGTACCGTGAGCGCCTTGTCATTGGCTGAGTTCGCCTGTACTCAGGTTTGATGAGAAGCCACACATTATTTAGGGGAAGACTGAGCCTAGTAGATGATCTAGAACCTTCCCATAGGTGCTGCTTTCTTCTATTGAAGACATTTAATCCTTCCAATAATCTGAGAGAAAGGGATTATGTTAACCCCATGTTATAGTTGAGGAATCTCAGTATATCAGGATGTGGTTTGGCGCCATACATCTGAAACCTTGTATAAGACAAATGCATTTTTCTCTCTTGGGAGCCTGAGTGGGTGTAGTGAGTTTGCTCCGGGAAGGAGGGACATTCTGGGTGGCGGCTGTGCTGTCCCAAGAGCGTAGTGTCCTCTGCTCAGCCCGAGGTGGAGTATCGCTCTCAGCATCTGCGTCCCGGTCAGTAGGATAGGAGAGGAGGAGACGTGGTTGCGCTTGCTCACACCTCATTGGCTAGAGCACTAGAATCAGAGGAAGGTGGGGTTTTCTCTGTGCGGGGAGCTGTGCATCCCAATGACGCAGGCTGCACAAGCTCGGAAGCACGGCATGAGAAGTGGCAGTCTGCATCACTGGTGCTGCTGGGACGGCTGGAGAACTGGGAAGGTCTCAGATCCTCTCCTTCAAGGTGTTGTGGGTCAAGCAGTTGATTTTATTCTATGTTTTTACTTGGCATTTGCATAATTACCAACTGTATTTTTAACTGACGGGCAATCTGATTTTTTTTATCACTTTATTATTTTTCATCATGATAAGTGTACTTTTCAATCCCCCTCACCTGTTTTCCCTGTCCCTCACCACCTCTGCTAACCAACAGTGCATCTCTGTTGTTAGGAGGCTGTTGCTGGGTTTGTCTCTCTCCCTTCCCACCCGCCCCCACTTTGCTCGTTTGTTTTGTTTCTTAAATTCCACATATAAGTGAGATTTTATGTATTTGTCTTTATCTAATTTCATTCAGTGTAATCTCCAGTTCCATCCATGTCCATGCAAATGGTGGGCGTTCATCCTTTCTGACGGCGGAGTCATATTCTGTTGTGTATATGGACCACATCTTCTTTATCCATTCATCTGTCGATGGACATCTAGGATATTTCCATAGTTTGGCTATTGTGGACATTGCTGCTATAAGCATTCCGGAGCATGTGCCCCTTCAGACCACTGCGTTTGTATCTTTAGGGTAAATACCCAGTAGTGCAATTTCTGGGTCATAGGGTAGCTCTATTTTCAACTTTCTGAGGAACCTCCATGCTGTTTTCCAGAGTGGCTGCACCAGCTTGCATTCCCACCAACAGTGCAGGAGGGTTCCCCTTTCTCCGCATCCTCGCCAGCATCTGTCATTTCCTGACTTGTTAATTTTAGCCATTCTGACTGGTGTGAGGTGGGATCTCACTGTGGTTTTGATTTGTATTTCCCTGATGCCGAGTGATATGGAGCACTTTTTCATGTGTCTGTTGGCCATCTGGATGTCTTCTTTGCAGAAATGTCTGTTCATTCTGCCCATTAAAAAAAAAAAAAGACATTTGTTTTAGAGAGCGAGCACATGAATGCATGTGTTGGGCGGGCAGAGGGAGAGAATCGCACACAGACTCCCTGCTGAGCTTGAATCCCAACAAAGGGCTCAATCCCATAACCCCGAGATCATGACCTGAGCTAAAACCAGGACTCAGACAAATAACTGCACCACCCAGGTGCCCCATTCCACTCACTTTTTAGTGGGATAATTTATTTTTTGGGTGTTGAGTTTGATAAGTTCTTTATAGATTTTGGATACTAGCTCTATATCTGATATGTCGTTTATAAATATCTTTCTCCATCTGTAGGCTGCCTTTTAGTTTTGCTGATTGTTTCCTTCTCTGTGCAGAAGCTTTTTATTTTGATATAGTCCCAAGAGTTTATTTTTGCTTCAGGCCGTCTGATTTTTTTTTGACAGAAGTTTAGTAGCTTTAGCCTAGAGATAGGTTTTTGCAGTATTTAAAGCAAAAATTAATTTATATTTCAGATTATAGTAAAGATAACATGTTACATTTACTGAGCTTATATTGTGACATTTCTCTGCCATTCTGAATTTTATTCAATATTCATGGCTGTAAATTTTATATAAGATTGGTAATTATATATGCTACTAGTATTAGATGATGTTACATGGCTGTGGATTTTTGAAGTTACTTTTTATCTTACAGTTTTCATGGCAAATTATTTAAATTTGAGCTTGGTCAAATACATCCAGAAATGTCTGGTGTCTGATGGACTCCTGATGATGACTGAATTGTGGGGGACCCTGCAGTCAGCGATCTGGGGGGTCAGCAGGCTGTGTGTATGAAACGTCACTACTGCTCCTACACTCAGGAATTTGCATGTTTATGTGTTTTTTCCTCATGGATTTTCTTCCCTCATCCCACACATTTTAAACATCTGAGAATTAAATGCCTTCTGTATACACACAGTTAGAGAATACAGTTTGACCCATTTTCTTTGCTTAATAGACTCTGTGTCCGCCTGTCTCACTCCCCGCCCCCACTCACACTGCTTCCAGAGCCCCTTGAAGTCAGAAGCTTTGCTCACAGGTGCTTCTCCGTGTGTGGTGGCAACTACCTGCTGCCCTTACTGACATGGCTGTCGTGCATTCGCCGTGGACCGCCCGCGGATGGCGAGGTGAAGGGAGAGTTAGCACTCTGTCTTTACGACGTCCGATCTAGTAGCTGCTTCTTCCCTACTCCACCTTTTTTCTTTGTCTTTGTGCTCCTTTTTTCTCTTCCCATAAAATGTGTATCCAGGCCTGTAGGGAGAAGCCACCAGTGACCCAGAACTCCAACAAATGTCTGATATTTTTCTTTCTCTGGAAGAAAAAGCAACTTAATTTTGAACCTAAAATTTGATAAAATAAAACCATAGGTAACCACCGTTTCAGATTGCTGTATAAAATGACCTTGTCTTCCCCTGAATGTCTTTGACTCAAACAGCACTCCCAATTCTTTGGTTTAGGGTAGCCTTTCTAAAACTAGGAAAATTGTTGTAAAAATCATTTAGGCAATCAAGATTCAACCAACTTTTTAAAAAAAAATTTAAATTTTTTTATAAACATATAATGTAGTATTAGCCCCATGGGTACAGGTCTGTGAATCGCCATCTAACCAACTTTTTTAATCTTTTTTTTTTTTTGTGATGGGTATGAAAATAGAAGACCTTTAAATATCCCCCTCTTCTCTTTTCGCCTCATTTTAGTATTAAAAGTGCAGAGGAAATAGGTAAGAAATCACCCAGTTCAGCGTGGTGGTTCCGGGTAGCCAGTCGGTTCACACTGAATCCTGATTAAGCTGTTTTTCAAAGCAGCATTCATGATGTTACGGAGGTTAGTGATGACAGAGCAAATGTTCACCCCTGATCTGATGGTTTGTTCTTCACGTGAGAGACATGTGGGCTTACCTCGTCTCGTAGTGCAGAGCACAGTGTGCTCTCCAGGGGGTCCGTCTGGCTCCTCTTTGAGGAGCTTTGCTCACTAAGCTGTGGATGCCCGATACCAGGTAGATCCTCTGGGCTGCACGAGGACAAGGGGACAACCAGTCCAGGGTTCTAGCAGACGCAGACTGGTGAGGGAGGCTGAGTGTGTGCCCATCGCAGCGTCCATGCAGCCGGACGGTGGGAGGCGCACAGTCAGCGAGAGAGTAGCTGACGGACTGGACCAGGAGAAGGGGAGCACCTAAACAGACCTTGAGGCTTCGCCGTGGGGAGAACGTACTAAGGAATCATCTGGCTCAACCTCTCCATCAGGGCCTGGTTGGCCTGCAGTTTTCTCTCTGGTGACAGTCCTGTATGATTTTTGCAAAGAGAAGGCAGAAGAGGAGTGTCTGGACACTGCATATCTTTGAGGTGTCAGAGCCTTTCCCGTCCGATTGCACTGTTGTCAGGAACTGTAGTCTCGGGGGACTCCGGTGACGGGAGGCTCTCTTTGTCCTGGGAGGCTGCAGTGTGATGAGGGGGGTGTGTGCTCAGCTCTGTTTTAATGGTGACGTTTCTAAGGTTTTCTCCCTTTGTGGTTAGTAAACCTTTTCATTGCGTTATTTTTATTGGCCTCTCCTTAACCATTGTTTCCAATCCAAGTTTGAGGTTTTTTTTTTTTTTAATTTATTTACTTATTTGAGCAAGCGCACATGAGCAGAGGGAGAGGGAGAAGCAGACTCCGTGCTGAGCACTGAGTCCTATGTGGGACTTGAACTCAAAACCTGAGATCACAACCTGAGCTGAAATCAAGAATCGGACGCTGTTCTGACTGCACCCTCTAGGTGCCCCCCAAGTTTGAGTATTTTAAGGCTGATTTTGCTCATTTGGTTCTCAATGGGTGGAGCATTGGAAGGCATTGTAAATTTGGGGTGCCACAGAGAGTACCATCAGCTCTAACAGTTCCCAGGGTATCCGAGGTTAATTGAATTCTTTAAAGAACATCTTTAAGTTGTGGGTACCCCCAAGGAAAAAGGAAAGAGGCTGTGTTTTTGGTTCCCTCATGAGAATGCAGAACGGTTCTCAGATCATGATGATGGGGAGGACGCGTGAGGTCGTCTGGGCCTTGAAGTAGGAGCTGGTCCTGTTGGCCCCAGGGCCTGGGTGAGGAGACATTCCCCTGTGCCTTTATTTAGTCGGAGAAGCTCCCCTGTCATCTGTGTTTTTCCCTGAGGGTCTTCATTGGCTCAGCCTCCTTGGATTGTTTCTTCAGCGGCTGGAAAGAAGCTTGGAAGTCATGCGCCGTACAAGTGCGGTTCAGCAGCGTCCGTCGTCGCGTTGAGTGTCTCGGGCAGCACTTGCTGTTACTGCCTTGTTGAGGGATGATGTCCTGTGGGTCGTCAGTGCTGGGCTCAGACTCTGTCTTCATATTGCGTTTTTGCCAGTCATAAAGCAAGAGGAGTACAATCCTGTGGCATGGAACCGGAAAGCCAGAGTTCTGTCTCGTAGGTCGCGT